ACCCCACAGGAGTAGATGTCTTTAGTAACTTGGAAGAACGTCACTGTAATGCTGAATGCTTCGATAGAAACAATGGGTTGATGCCTCGAATACCAGTTTTACTCTTGGAACAAAGCACAGGTAACTTTAAAATGGTTAGAAAGAAACTCAGATTTATTCCTTAACAAAGACCCTATGTAATGCTTACTCTAAGAATAACCAGGTTATAGCTTAATCCTCTCTATTGCCTTGGAGGAAACTGGATTAAGAAACAGCTCACAGTGCTAGCTCCATGTTCATTCTTTCACTGTACTATAATGTGATTTATACTTCTTAACATATAATGTTTGTCTAATGTGTATCTTCTTTCCTCAGTTTCACCTAAGGGGCCATTAATACAGATACGTCTATGGACTTACATCTTTTGCAGAATTTACAAACGGGAAAAAGTTCATTATTCTCTCTCCACTGACTAATGGATGTTCAGAAAGTATAGGAGGGCAGGTTTGTGATATCTTTGGATAGATCTGCTCTTTACTTTTATTTTTTCCTGTACCTCCCAATGCATGTGGGAAAGAGACTAAATTACTTGCCTGGAACTTAGTGAAATTGTTTCTAGGGCACCCACGAGTTTGCTTTAGCTGCCATAGAGTTGGGTGGTTGCAAACAATGAAATTTGCTCCTGATGCCCATCAGGAGACCTAGAGGCAGGGTGACAGATCTGGAAAGGGTGGCTGTGTTGAAATGCTCTACACTCCTACAGTTTGTGGGCACAAATGATATTTTAGTGTTTCCTACACCCCAGGTTTAGGCCCGAGGGAATCTGAAGAGCCTACAAAAGCTCACCCAAGAGGAAAACTCTGCATTGAGCACCAGCGGGCCCAGAGCATACACACATTTTATTCCCACAGACATTGCCCGCCTTTTCTTCTCCCTCCCTCTCGCTGCACCCACCCCAACTGGAGCATGCAGAGGAAGGAACACCCAACTCATTCCTGCCTCCAAAACAGTCCAGCAAGGGGGAGAAATTATTCATCTTCAATTAAACTGGGGCTTTTGTTACACAGAACTAAATAACCTGGTTGCTGAATAAGATATATTTGTGCAAGTGAAAGGAATTAGAGGATATTCTGTTCATTAAAATTGAGCACACTCCCCATGGTATGCTGCAATTCCTGTGCAATGACAGGGAAATAGCTCCCCTAATGAGAATCTGGGAAGGGGCAATAGCAGACGCACGAACTTCAGCTCAGTCAAAAATCTCATTCAGTGCATATCCAGCCCACCAGCGACATCTGTATGCTTCAGGTTTTCTAAAATACAACAAAACAATACCTTAAAAATAGAGTATGATCAAATAGCATTTAACTCAAAAATTGATGAGTAAACAAAAATTATATAATTTGATTGATTGAAATAGACTTTTCCAGCTCTCCTTCCCCGAGTACCATACACTCATAGGTGTGCTTATGAAACCCATCTGTATTCCACTAAAGCATTCCGACCCCGATGAGACCCCGCAGTGTAGGCCTCATGATAGAGCGCCACAGTTAAGGGTGCGGTTTCTGGACTGTGCCTTCCATGGACAGTGACTAAAGTCATTCCCTAGTCGTGGGAGAGTTGAAAGGAAGACTCCCGGTGAGGGCAGGCACATTTCAAAAGATAAAAGCAGCTTTGCACGGCATGCCCTCTGTTCCTAGGATTCGTGCTGGCTTCTGAGTGGCACGATGACAAAGGAAGTTGAAAGTAGTTCTTAGGCTCCTTGGGTGATTTTTCAAGTTAATCTTCTCCTTCACAGTCTCTGGGTTGGGAAGCTAAGCTTGTGCCTCTTGGTGCTCAGGTTGTAGTGACGGAACCTGTGATGGGCTGGTGGACAGGTTCTGTGAGATGTGGATTCATAGTTCCCAAACCCTCACGTGCATGCACACACAGCAAACATAAAAGTGTGTGTTTGTGTTTGTATATATAAACATATGTAAATATATGTATATATGTATATGTACAAAAACTACCCAAGCAAAGAAGGGCAATGTTAGCCCCTGGGGCCTGTGCAGAGGGAACTCGGGCCTTCAAAGTGCTGGGTTTCAGGTGGAGGTGAAGAGAGGATGAATCAGACTCTCACGCTGTCATCCTCGCAGCTGGGGGTGAGCCCAAACACCATGCGGCCCTTACCCACACAGGACACGCTAGGAAGGCCCATTAACCCCCCACCCCAGCACAGTCGTTGAGATCTGCTAGAGACTCATTTCAGCTGACTAGCTTCTGCCTCCTGTCAGGATTGGAGGAGAGAAGATACAGAACAAGGAAAGTCCTACAGGGGGATTTGGGAAAGGAATGCCCAGATCAAACCCCGCAGCTCCTCAAGGTGCCTCGGCAGGAGAAGCAGCAAGATTCTTAGTGCTGGAGGGGAAAGGGCAGGGCAGGGAGCAAAAAGAAGAGGCTGCAGTTCTCAGAATTCCAGCCACACAAACATGAAGGTTCCAGACTTGACTGGTCCCATGTGAAAGCTGTCATTTCCCAGGCCTAACCTGTAACCCACATCATATTTCCTGGGTTATAGGTTTAGAGCTGTGGGGGGAGCCAGAGTGAGCTACGGTGGCTATAGTATTTGCATTTAGTCTTTTTTTAAATTCTCATTCACCTCTATGGTCTTGCCTGTGCTATAGGAAACAGAGTTAGGACACGGCATTTCTTGGGCCCTCCTTGCCCCAGGTTTCAGTGGACACGCTGCTGTGAGGTTTGGAGGTAGCAGCTGGGCTGAGGCCCTCTCATGCGTGGACACAAAGGCTTCCCAGACAGGAGTCTTGGCAAGTCGCCTGGTTCCAGGAACATTCCTTCCCCTGGGGCTCTCGAGGGGCTAGATGTCTGCAAGTGGCTCCCACTGCAGACATCTGACCTCTGACCTCTGACCTCTCAGCATTTGGGGTCTATGCAGGCTGTGCTCCTCAGAACACCTAGCAGTGTTAAGGTAAACTTCCTGAAATAGGGCAGAACTGCAGCAAACGTCCTGTGGAGTGTCTGTGGGGTTTCTGTTTCCTGACTGAACTCTGAGTACAGGGGCTCCTCACCATCCATGCACCTCAGAAACTTCCTCAATCACGTCGGAGGCAACAGGGAACCCTGAGTGGTGTCCAGATAGGAACTTCTCCACCATCACAGAGAGAGGGAACCGAAAGTCTTTTGCAAAATCTCCCAGATTTAGTAATCTCAGGAGGAGAACCAATCAGTGCTTTAGACTGAGCAGTGTCATAAGTTGCCGAGCAACACCTCGAGTTGAAGGTGCTATTCTGACTTATAAAATGTTTTTCTGTAAGATGTCTCTAGATGACCATTTATTTATTGAGCTATGGATAAGAGGGAGGCATGAGGGCAGCAAAGGGCAGACACAGAAAAATCATAGTTAGTTTTCCCTCCAAAAGAGATGGCAAAGCCTGAATCACAGGATCAGCTCTCAGCAGTCGGACACTGGGCAGCTCTCCTCGGGCCCATTCCCCCACCTCCAGGAAGTGTAGTCCTTAACAGTTGCAGGACAGAGCTGTGCTGTGGTCTCCCCAGGTGACCTAGAAGTCAGTGTCAGAGAACATCAAAGTCCTTGGATGTGATCAGACCATCCGGTGTATGGGGTGGTTGCCCCCATGACTTGTGAGGCAGCTGCAGGGCAGGGTAAGGCCTCAGCAGAAGTGGACAGCCCACCCTGAGCACATGTATCATAACTGATATTAAACAGTGAGCTCACCATCTGATGGGCTGCCTCATCTACAGGTCTCTCTTCATTGAAGGTCTCTGGATCCCAGCCCTTTCTATGTGTAGTTTCATTTTCTTTTGTATTGCACTGTGTTTTTAAAAACATGAAGGCCAGTGTGTCTTGACTTTCAGTATTCTCAATAGTAAACATCAAAATTGAGTCTTTGGATCAGAACTTCATAACCTTATGACATGAGGAAGTAATGGCACAGCCCTCCTGCAGCTCATCCCCATCACTCCCAGTAAAGTTAGCTCTGCCCAATCTACTTCAGCCTACTCCCGGCCCAAGTCCTCAAGAGGGGGTGTCCCCCACAGTCTACTCCATCTCTGGTCCTAGGTAAGATGGTAGGCATTGGTAAAACATAGCTCCTTAATAGTTCACTGTTTTCAGCAACCATTATCCATTTCCACCTCCCCTCCATTTTGGGGAGTGTTGAAGCTCAGTTTCTTTTTCAGAGTTCCCTAAGGATAGTACAGTGCCAGGGATCCTAACTCTTGAAGAGCTGGCCATCTTGGAGTCTAGGACACTGAAGGAGAAGCCTGAAGCAATAAGAAGCTCCTTAAGCCCTAGCCAGTGTGGCTCAGTGGATAGAGTGTTGACCTGAAAACCAAAGGGCCCCAGGTTCAATTCTGGTCAAGGGCACATACCTTGGTTGCAGGCTCCTCCCTGGACCAGGTTCTGGTCGGGGCATGTGCAGGAGACAACCAGTCAATGTGTTTCTCTCACATAGATGTTTCCCTCTGTCTTTCCCTCTCTTTTCCAGTCTCCCTAAAAATCAATGGAAAAATATCCTCCAGTAAGGAATAACAACTACAACAAAAGAAGAAGCAGCTTCTTAAGTGAAGCTGTCCTCCACAAGATTTGGGGATTCTCCTTAGCCTGATAATTTACCTTCTTTTTAGACGATTTGTTGTCTCTTAAAATAAGCTCCCTAGCTGTCACAGCACAGATGTGTGATCTGTCACTAACTCTCACTTTAGGTTTTTTTTATTGATTATATTCTCACTATGTGCTTCAGGTATATCCCTTGCCAGAACTTGAATTGGGATGGAAAAGTGTGAGTGATTGCCTAACATTCTCAAAAACTTATTTTTTGTTGTTTTCTGTTCATTTGTTTAAGAACTTTAACTTTTAATCTATCTCCTTTCCCAGACCCTTTACAAAAGTCCTTTCCTTAGCAACAGATGTGTCATTTTAAAACACTGTGCTGATTGGCTGCAGCTCAACTGATTTGAATTTTAATCAATCCGACACTATTTCACACTACATTCCCCTATTTTACTCCTATTTGTTCAGCTCCACTCTTGAGCTCTGCTGAGCCCCATCAAAGCACCCAAGAAGAAAATGGCCATAATTGGAGACCCAGTGTTGGGATTTTTCATCACAGTGGTCCTGGTGTGCCTTCAGGAATCTTGGGCCATCAAAGGTAAGTGCTGAGAGCATCATAACTGGGGAGAACAAGCGCTGAGGGCATTGTGAAGTGTGGAAAGACGCTATTTGAAATGAAAGAGACATTTTATAGGTATTCTGTGGGTCTAAATCTGAAAGTGTAATAAGTTGAAGATGGAAGAGTTCTCTTCTCACCACAATTTGAAGTCAGTCAAATTTAGCTTAGACGAGCAAACCTGGGCTGTATATTTCTTTGAGGTAAGGCAAACTTGAGGAAGAAATCTTGTCTGGAAGGCACTAGCAAGCTGCCTCTCTAGGCTTTAATTTCTCTTTCTAGATAATTAGTAAAATTGAAAACCTCACACAATATTGTGAGGATTAAATGAGAAAATGTGAGAGGTTCTTAGCTGGACACCTGGTAGTTGTTTTTTGGCATGTGGATCCTGTCAGGATATTTTGATCAATGACATTTTGGGGAAGGTCACTAGAAAGAAAAGTCACTGAAAAGTAAGTCTTCCCAAGGGAGGGGGAGGACAGGTGTGCCGATATGAGCTGCATTTAATTTACTGCCCCCGGGACAGTGACAGGCCCTCCTTACTGGATCTTACACTGATCTTTGGTCAGCGCTACTTAGTGGCTTTCCCAAGAGAGTAGAAAAATGAGTAAGGAATTGAACAACCAATGTTCTCTGCCATCTCC